CGCATTGACAACGTGGCAGCATGACCTGGGGGTGAGGGGATGTGACGGAATGTGAGGGGATGTGAGGGCATGTGAAGGGTTGTGAGGGGATGTGAAGGGATGTGAGGGGATGTGAAGGGATGTGAGGGGATGTGAAGGGATGTGAGGGGATGTGAAGGGATGTGAGGGGATGTGAGGGCATGTGAAGGGATGTGAAGGGATGTGAAGGGATGTGAGGGCATGTGCAGGGAGAAGGGGACGGGAGAAGGAAGGGAGGAAAGGAGAGGGAGGGAACATAGGAGATGAGGGAGGAAAGTGTACCTTCTCTTTCCAGATCCAATCATCCATCCCTTCCTGTTCTTCTCTGTTCCGATACCCCTTCCTTTCCGTACCTTCCCCCCATCCCCCGCCTGTTGTTCCCAGTCGGAAGCGGGCAAGAAGCTCCCATTCGTGTTTGTGCTGAACCTGCAAGTGCCCGGCAAGCCCAACTACTCGTGTGTCGCTCACTTTGCTGCCGACCGCCCTTTGAGGCCCGACTCGCTGCTGGGGAGGTTCGTCAACGCCGAGGACGACTCGTTCAGGAACAGCCGCTTCAAGCTCATTCCGCGCATTGAGGAGGTGAGCACTCAAGACTTGTGTGCGTGGGTAAGGCATGTGGGTGTGCCTAAAGTGTGTGTGTGAGCTAACCACCGTGCTGTGGGTACCCGTCAAGCCCGATTCTCTGCTGGGTAGGTTCGTCAACGCGGAGGACGACTCGTTCCGCAACAGCCGCTTCAAGCTCATTCCGCGCATTGAGGAGGTGCGTGTGTGCCTAAGGCGTGTGTGTGTGGCGTAGGCATGCGCTCACTACCCTCGCTGTGCCTAAGGCATCTTGAAAACGCCTGTCAAGCCCGATTTCTGCTGAGGAGGTTTGTCAACGCCGAGGATGACTCGTTCAGGAACAGCCGCTTCAAGCTCATTCCTACGTGAGCGACACACGAGTAGTTGGGCATCGAGGAGGTGCGTGTGTGGCAGCTTCGTTCGCTGGCCAGGTGACTTTTAAGTCGACTCAAAAGTCACCTCTATTTCTTCCTCCTGCCACCTCCTTGCCACCCGCTCTGACCTCAGGGCTGCTGACTCTTTGAATCGAATTCTACCCACCTACACCCCTCTTACTTCCTCCTTATCACCCTCACTTCTTCCTCCCTCCACCTTCGTACCACCCTTTCTGACTGCCGTTCTGACCGCAGGGCTGCTGAAATGAACCGAACTCAGCCCATCCGCACCCCTCTTGATTCCTTTTTTTAATACCCTCACTTGTTCCTCCCTCCAACTTCGTACCACCCTTTCTGACTGCCATTCTGACCGCAGGGCTTTTGGGCAGTGAAACGGGCAGTTGGAACAAAAGCTGCTATTCTGGGAAAGGCACTGACTTGCAGCTATTTCAAGGGCGAGAATTATCTGGAGGTAGGGAGTTTTACTCGACTAGTGTTCCGCTCATGTCTATCTGCATCTGCATGTGCATGTAAAGGCCCAGCCCAAGGCCCTCCTCTCCTCGTTGTCCCTTTCAACCCAAGGCCCCTGTGCCTCTGTAACTCTATCCAACCCCTTTCAACCCCGTCAAACCACATTGAACCGCACTCAACCAGATGGACGTGGACGTGGGGTCGTCCTCAGTGGCTCGCAGCGTCATCGGCCTCGTGCTCAGCTACGTCACCTCACTGGTCGTGGACCTCGCACTGCTCATTGAGGTGGGTGTTACCTTCCATACGCCACCACTCCTGGTGTGTTCAGCCTGCATTTCAGCCGCTCGCAGAGTGTCATCAGCCTCGTGCTCAGCTACGTCACCTCGCTGGTCGTGGACCTCGCACTGCTCATTGAGGTGGGTGTTACCTTCCATACGCCACCACTCCTGGTGTGTTCAGCCTGCATTTCAGCCGCTCGCAGAGTGTCATCAGCCTCGTGCTCAGCTACGTCACCTCACTGGTCGTGGACCTCGCACTGCTCATTGAGGTGGGTGTTACCGTCCATACGCCACCACTCCTGGTGTGTTCAGCCTGCATTTCAGCCGCTCGCAGAGTGTCATCAGCCTCGTGCTCAGCTACGTCACCTCACTGGTCGTGGACCTCGCACTGCTCATTGAGGTGGGTGTTACCTTCCATACGCCACCACTCCTGGTGTGTTCAGCCTGCATTTCAGCCGCTCGCAGAGTGTCATCAGCCTCGTGCTCAGCTACGTCACCTCACTGGTCGTGGACCTCGCACTGCTCATTGAGGTGGGTGTTACCGTCCATACGCCACCACTCCTGGTGTGTTCAGCCTGCATTTCAGCCGCTCGCAGAGTGTCATCAGCCTCGTGCTCAGCTACGTCACCTCACTGGTCGTGGACCTCGCACTGCTCATTGAGGTGGGTGTTACCTTCCATACGCCACCACTCCTGGTGTGTTCAGCCTGCATTTCAGCCGCTCGCAGAGTGTCATCAGCCTCGTGCTCAGCTACGTCACCTCACTGGTCGTGGACCTCGCACTGCTCATTGAGGTGGGTGTTATCTTCCATACGCCACCACTCCTGGTGTGTTCAGCCTGCATTTCAGCCGCTCGCAGAGTGTCATCAGCCTCGTGCTCAGCTACGTCACCTCACTGGTCGTGGACCTCGCACTGCTCATTGAGGTGGGTGTTACCGTCCATACGCCACCACTCCTGGTGTGTTCAGCCTGCATTTCAGCCGCTCGCAGAGTGTCATCAGCCTCGTGCTCAGCTACGTCACCTCACTGGTCGTGGACCTCGCACTGCTCATTGAGGTGGGTGTTACCGTCCATACGCCACCACTCCTGGTGTGTTCAGCCTGCATTTCAGCCGCTCGCAGAGTGTCATCAGCCTCGTGCTCAGCTACGTCACCTCGCTGGTCGTGGACCTCGCACTGCTAATCGAGGTGAGCTCTCGATGCATCATGCACCTGGCACGTGGGGTGGTCCTCAGTGGCTCGCAGCGTCATCAGCCTCGTGTGCTCAGCCACGTCACATCGCTTGTCGTTGTGGACCTGGCTTTGCTAATCGAGGTGAGATCTTGATCCATGTGCACGTCACTGTGTTCATCCTGAGGGTACATTATGACGCTGCCTTACCTCAACACTGGCCTCATGCTCAGCTGCGTAAAGTCGCTCGTGGTGGACCTGGCGCTGCTTATTTAGGTGAGCTCTCGATGCATTGTGTTCAACAATCAGTGCCTTAGCTGTGGCCTCGTGCTCAGCTACGTAAAGTCGCTCGTCGTGGACCTTGTTGCATTGCTAATCGAGGTGAGTTCCTTTCGTGAGCCGTTCTCCGTGTGCCTTCCTCCGTATTCGTTATTTTTAACTATAATTGTATCTTCTTCTTCCACGCCCAAGCTGCAAACCAGTTGCCCGGGTCACCTCTTCACATCAATCGTCTGGTAAATATTGTAACTCGTGCTCTCCCTTCGCTCTACGACTCTCCGCTCAAATTTCCCCTCCCTCTTCTGGCTGCATTTCCCTCCTTCTCAGGCTCAAGCTGCAGACGAGTTGCCCGAGTATCTTCTTGGCACAATCACTCCCACGCACCTCCCCTCAGGCTCGTCAGACTCTTTCTTACGCGATTCAATGTTCCTCCTCCCACCCCTTTCTTCCTTCACTACAATCCCCCTTCCAGGCCCAAGCTGCAGACGAGCTGCCTGAGTACCTCCTTGGCACAATCACTCTCATGCGGCTTGAACCCATGAAGGCCATTGACCCGCCTACTTTCACCTCGCCTCGCGCTCAATCTTCCCCTCCTGCCTCTTTCTTCCTTCGTACCCCCCCTCTTCAGGCCCAAGCTGCAGACGAGCTGCCTGAGTACCTTCTTGGCACAATCACTCTCATGCGGCTTGAACCCAAGAAGGCCATCGACCCCCCGCCTGCTTGAGTTTCCGAGCGGGGGGGTTTAACGGCCAGCCAGCCTGCCATTGCGCCGTGCCCTTGTGATTTCGTTGCATCACATATGTTATTGTTTGATGTGCTACCGGTATCGTAAATCAGCAGCACATGCTGGAAGTGGAAGCTGGGCAGTCTTATATTTTGTTTCATACATTCAATCCTCTGTAGTATAAAAAATATGGTACCGGTAGAACTTGGTAGCGTTTGCAAGTGAGGGTAGAGGGAGCCTGTATCTTGAAGTTTCCCAACCACATACTTTTAATCTGTACACCTTACAATGTTGAGTGATATGATATCTCTTCAAGGTGCAGTTGAAAGAGATGAACCAGCTAACAAATGAAACTAGGGATCAGAGACTTGGTGCAGTAACAAGGATTCTTTGAAGTAGCAATTCTGGAACAGAATCTTGATATTGTTGTGTTTGTGCTCTCATCTGTAGTCGAATTTACTCATAGCGACGTTATGCATAATTGTGTTCATGTGGTGCACCACCCAGTCCCAGTGTTCCTGCGACCTTTTGTCCCCGTGTCCCCCCCCCGTCCCGTCCCCGAATCTCCCTCCACCCCTTCCCGCTCCCTTCGCCCCCACCCTTCCCCGTCCCCTTCTCCCCCCTCCCCCCTTGCACTCCGCGCCGTCTCTGCAGCAGCTCTGATCAAACGCCACCCACGGGAATGAGCTCTTCTCTTTCCTCCCTTCTCGCTTGGTCACGACCCCACACGCGTTCTGCTGCTCCACCCTAACTTGCCGCCATGGTTAGTTCCCTCCTTAGCCTTCCCGCACCGCGTTTCTCAATCCGCCGCGTTACCTCTGCCGTAGAACGCGTACCGTGGTTATTTCTCCCGCTGTCGCAGGCCCGCGAATCCTCCGTTTCGAATTTGTTAGTTCGCGATTTTAGGGTTTGCTGTACTAAGTAAGCCTCGTATTGTTTTACTCAGGGAGGATACGGCCCGCATGTTACTTTCCTCCTGGCATGCATTACTGCTAGAGCTAGTGCTAGTGCTAGGGCTAGGATTAGATTTCGTGCCAGGGGTCTAGATTTTGAACCTGCCAGGTGTATGATACCAAAAGTGCGGTGTGTTTGTTTGGTCGGTTTGGAAGGCATCTGTTTGAAAGCGTATGGGTGGTTCCGTCGCGTTTTGGGGTTATTCGAACTTCCTTAGTACTTCATATCCTCTTATCTCCTCCAGATCCGCCTCCCTATTCCGCATCAACCCTATAACTCCGTTCCTCCCCCACCCCCCGTCTTTTCCGCGCACCCGCACCTCTCCTTCCCTCCCTTTTTCCTCTCACGCACCCCTCTCTTCCCCTGTTTTTACCACGCGCAGCTTTTCACATGGTTTTCAGAAATTATTTTCTATTTGCCTCAGTAAATAACTTGACCCCTCCTCCCTCCCCTCCCCTTCCTCCCCATCCCACCCCACCCCCCACTCCCCCCTCCCACTGTACGATACCGTACGGCACCGCACAGCCTTCCCACAAGGCCTTCCGCATCAAGATCAAGCTCGCGAAGAAGATGAAGCAGAACCGGCCCATCCCCTACTGGATCCGCCTGCGCACCGACAACAAGATTCGGTACGTTCAACTTAATCAAACTAATGTGCTACCCCCTTAGCTCTACAGTTGAAGCGTTTTGAAATGCTTGAACGTACTGGATCCGCTTGCGCCGATTCTTGAGTCGACTCAAAAAAAGAATCGCTTACGACAATCCCGCTATTGCCAATTTATGGGCAATTCCCCTCATTCATTGTCCATTTGTGTCCCGTTTCTCATCCTTATGCACTCCGATAGTCATCCAGAGTTTTCACGGCACTCCCCCTTCCATCCTTGCCTCTCTCCTCGCTCCCCCCTCGTCCCTCTTTTTCCCTTTCCCCTTCCTCCCTATTCATCTCCCCTCCCCTCTCAACTCCACTTCCCCCCTTCCCCTGAGGTGCGTGGTTTGTGTATGAGGGGACGGGACGGGACGTGAACGAACAAAGAAGCGGGTTATTTTGGCAAGTAGCGTTAGATCGTCGCATCAGGGGTTTAGATGAAGTAGAACAGACGGGTTTCTTATGAGTTTCGGGCCAGATTCAAATCAGATATGGATAAAACTCGGATCAGATTTAGTGCAGATTTGGATTAGACTCGATGGGCAGCAGAAATGTGCCGAGCAAGGGAGTGGCTGACAAGATAGTAAATAATTGTCAGCTCTGGCGCTGGAAGGCTTATTTTCTGAATCCTTTTTTACTCGCAAGAGGCGAGGCAGGCAGAGAGTAGGAGACTGAATGACAGGGCAATATCTGATAGCGACAGGCAAAAACCGGCAGGAACGGACAGGGGCGTAAGGACGGAAACGGCGGAAAGGGAGAAACCGACGGGAGTAACTGACAGGACAGGAACAGATAGGCAGAAACGAACAGGGCAGGAAGATGTAGCACGGACACTTTGTGACGCAATCTTTGAATCAGATGACTCGGGGCTGCGAGTCAGTTCAAGATGTGCACTCTTGAGCCGCATTTAGTTGGGTGGGAACCGGTGGAGTGAAGCAGGCTGGGTCTGTCACCTTGGGAGGGTGGCGGGTTGGGTTGGAGCTTCTGGTCGGACTGCCATTTCACTCCTAAACTCTTTTCCCAATCCCAGTGTCCCAGTTGAGTCAACTCAAACGACCTTGAAGTCGACCCAAAATTCAGTGTTCAGGAAGGAGTACGAGCCCCGTTCTGGACCTGACAACCTCACCATTGGCTCTCTGCCGATCATCAGGATCTCTTGTTAAAGCTTCTGCTTCATTGTCTGATACCAGTTTCTTTATAAGTGCCCTTTGGCCCCACAGGTACTCACCACGCCAGGTGCTGGCGTTGGTGCAGAAAGCTTGAAATAGAAGGAATCTTCTTCTGGTCACAACCTGGTTCCCCTTTTTCGTGTGCCAACTTGTCCCCACAGGTACAACGCCAAGCGTCGGCACTGGAGGCGCACAAAGCTGGGCTTCTAAGCTCAGAGCAGCACGTGCAGACATGGCTGCTGCAGACAAGGCAGGATTTGGGCAGGAGTTTGCAGTGTCGAGTTTGTGCCGGGATTACGCTGCTGTTGCCTTGCCACTATTGTACACGAATTGGGCCCATGAAACAGAGGGCGGGGTGTTTTTTCAATGCTGCCCTGTGCCCATCCAAAGCAAGAAACGCAGCTTCTTGTAAGGAGGTTTCATTGTTCCCTTATTTCGTGTATGTGAAGCTGGCTTCAGTTGAATTGGCTGCTATCCAATACAAGAAATGTGGTAGTTAATTATATAAAGGTACAAGTAGGTGCTGGTATGAAAAGTAGTCTGCCATCTATAGTACCCCACTATTCCTCGATTTAGGCTATCACAAAGGTCGAATTTAGACAACAGCTGGACCGCACATCTCCAGCACGCGACGCGGCTCTGGCAAGCCATTCTTGTTCCACGAATACATGACAGGCATTTGCGAGTCCCTCACGACGTACACGAAACCTAGCCAGTGGTGTTTCGCGCTTGTAGACGATGTAGCGAAGCGTAACAAGGTTGGGGCCAACGCTCTCGTTTTCGTTGCTTCCCCCATCCACTCGTGTGTGCCACCTTTCTTTTCTGTCACCTCAATGCGACACCATGGTTCAGAGCATCACACGTGACTATCGCCGTGACCTTGCCTTTTTCCTTCACTCGGATGCAATCGCGGTTCCCTTGCCAGGAGCCTTTCGTCCTTGTATCGCCCACTCCGAGAGGGAAAAGGGTCTATTCCTACCTCCGCTGGCTCAGAACCTGGCATAGCAATTAATCCCGCTCCCCCAGCATCCCTCCTAGCAGATGCGCGATGCCCGTGTTCGGCTGGTTCCGCGTCCTCTGCTCTCACAGGTACCCGCATAGGCACCCGCACTGGTAAACCCCCCAACAAAATGCTGTACAACGTACAGACGCCTTTGGGTCAGTGTAAATTAGTGCTGCTAGTAGTAGTAATACCGCTTCAGCATCATCATCACAGCGGCTTGCGCGACGACCAGCATCAGCGCCATGGTCTATTTTCGAGGCGCCTTAGAAGTGGTCTATTGGTAATAGTAGTGTTGCGTCGGCATCATCAGCACGAGTGCTTGCGCGACGACCAGCATCAGCGCAGTGGACGTCACGTGGATTGTCGCGTGGTACGGGAGATCTCCAAAGGCCAGCGCGGCTGTTGTGTAAGGCCGGGTCGCGGTCTTTGGATCGACAGTACCAGCCGCAGCAGTAACCGCAGCAGCAGTGTCGCGGTTCTTGCCACGTGCATCATGATCCACCTTGGTCGTTCCAGACGCGGCGCCGCCGAACACGATTTCATCCAAGCGACGCGACAAACTGAGCCCGTTCGTCGTCGCGACGAGAAACGCGATCAGCACGGGCCACGTCATGCGCCCCGAACCGAACAATCCCACCGCCGCGACACCAATCGCGTACTGTGCGAATCGATACAAACGCGCGACTCTCTCGGGCCCCAATCGCGACGTCAACGTGATCTTGCCGCATTGGAGATCCGATTCGATGTCGGGAAGGTTCATGACCATCATTCGCACGAATTGCTGCACGAACAGAAGCGGGATGATCGCGCGCAGCGACGTCGGAAGCGCGAACGCGTCGTCGCGCCGCTGCATTAGCGAGCCCATCGCGGGCACGCACCACGTCAGCACGACCGCCACCGTCGCTTCGCCGAAGCCGCGATACTGCAGCTTGAAGGGCGGCGCGGCGTACGCGCACGAGAGGAACATGGCGGTCCACGCGACGTGCTGTGTCGACGCGTTAAAGATTGACAGCTGCGCGCCGATGCTGCCGGCGAACAGCAGGCTCGCCGCAACGAGCGCCGTCCATCGCGGGAGCAGGCCGGCGGGAAGCACGCCGGAGCCGCCGTTCCACTTGCCGCGCTGTTTGTTGGCGAGATCTGCGGCGTAGTCGAAATACTCGCTGCAAAAGTGCGTCATTACGTGCGAGCAAGCCACGATTAGTACCACCGGAATGAAGGCTTCGACGCGGAAGCGGAAAACCGAGTCCGTGAGACCGCCGCCGCCAGCGGCAGCGCCGTTAGCGCCGCCGTCAGCGCCGTAACCGGCCGCGCCATTGACGTCACCTGAGAGTGCGCCCAGAAGGGCGAATAGGGAGGAGGATGGGATGAACTTGAGTCGCCCAAGCCGCATGAGCGCGCGGAAGGAAGACATTTCTGCGGCTGCTCGCGCTCCCATCGGAAATGTTGGCGGAGGACCACACGGAGAGGTCTAGTTTCTTGGCTTGCTCTGGGAGAGATACTCAGGTTACTCGGAGCGGTCTTAGCCTGGAAAAGCTGCGAATAAATCAGGCTACCGCCCTGCTCGTCTGTAGACGTGGCTATTTTCTGCTTTCAAAACGTGCGAGATTGGGATGGTGGAGAGGCCTATTCTTGGCCTATCACAGAGTCCCGTATGGTCGCGGTCGGCATTTCCTATGACAACGGCAATCTTTCACATTCTAGGAACGTGCTCTGAGCCATGTCACTGGTCATTCACCTGGAAGGTACAGTGCCGCAACAAGAGTTGAATTTTGTTGACTGCTGCAAGCGTCAACTGGATCTGACTCATGTATTGCTCTCGCGCCGCAGATTGCGCTTGTTGGAAAAACTCGCACGAGCAGGTGTAACATTTGAAAATAATATTTTCGTTGTCGTAGGCGAAACAAAAGGAGCTACTTAGTTGACTGTGGGAACTTGCAGTTTGGCAGCTCCTGTCGACCAGGATGCAGCTGTCGGCTGGTAACGAACGTCGCAAATGTTCGCTGAAAAGCTGGAACAAACGTACAGGAGACCAAAAGTGTGGTGACGTCAGGTTACAGAATGTGGAGTGAACAGCAATGCTAGAATTACAAAGCATCTCACCTGCAATTCTCCCGCTTGCGACGCGACTCTCGCAAACCACATCGCTGATTCAAGTCTCGTTCCGCAACAATGTTTCGCAAGAATTTGCGATTTCCTCACGACGTTCACGGAAACCGTAACCCGGACATTTACTCGCACTAGTAACGGTGTAGCGGGCGAATGATTTCAGCTTTCGTTGGTTCTCCCACCTCCACTTGACGTGCCACCTTTCACTTCGCTTCAACACAGCTACCACCTTCGTTCATGGTATTGCTCGCACGTAACTCTCGCCGCGATTACCGCCTTTCCCCTCGCTCACACGTTCGACCCAAGCACGTATTCTCGCCATGATCCCAAGAACTGCGCTTCACTTTCCCTTCGCCCTCGTTTCCCTCGCGCTGCCCCTGTCACCCTCTGAAGTGGTAGAAGGTCGTTTTCCTTCACCTCCCCGCCGCCATCTCAGCACCGTGCTGGCTACCCTTTCGCCAGCAGCAATCGCTATCGGGTGCCTGCCTGTGTGTTCCGCTCCGCCAGCAATAGGTTCCGCACAGTGCACACGTAGCCGCTGCAGCCGCGAGAACTTCTCTCAAATACTGGTGGTAGCCAAATGCTGCACTCTCATATCTGATTCATGGACGTTTCTGGGTCAGCCTAGAATCAGCACCTCTTGTTCTCAGCGTACTACTACTTGTAATAATGGTACTGCGACAGCATCATCAGCACCACATGGTGGTGTTAGTGGCTTTTTAGTAGTGGTATTCTCATTAGCACCTGTTGTTCCCAGCGTACTACTACCTGTAATAATGGTACCCCGACTGCATCATCAGCACCACCGATTGCGCGACGACCAGCATCAGCAACGGTGGCGGCAGCGGCGGCTAAGCAGCAGCAGTGTTGTGGGTCTTCCCGCATGCCGATCCTCGGTCATCCCTGGCGCGGAGCCGTCAAGCACGATTGCATCCAATCGACGTGCCAAACTGAGCCCGTTCGTCGTGGCGACGAGAAACGCGATCAGAAAGGGCCACATCATCCAGCCAGAACCGAACAATCCCACGGCCACGACAGCGATCGCGTACTGTGCGTTTCGATACAAAGGCGCGACCCGCTCGGGGCCCAGTCGCGCGGTCAGCGTGATCTTGCCGCATTGGAGGTCCAACTCGGTGTCGGGCATTTTCAAAATGACCGTGAGTGATGACCGTGCATTTTTTTTATACTTCCGAAATCAGCTCAGCCATCGCATATACACAAAGTATAAACCACTCATAACACGTCCCTCCTACACCGAGCACGCAGATCAAGGTTCACAGAACCATCACCACCACATCCCAAAAATGGTGAGGTGTGTGACGTAGGTTCTGAAAAGCCTACGTTTGCACCTCATTGCTATGGCGCAGGTTTAGGGTAAGTCGAGCGTAGGTGCGCGGTACGTTGCCGCAAGTTGAGCGCAGGTTGAGGGCAGGTTGAGGGTTGTTTCGAAGCTGACGCGCAACCAGCACAAGGTTCGAGCTTGAAGTTGCGGAACGTAGCTTTCCAGCTAACCAATCCGAACCTCCCGAGCCTTTCTAAGCCGAGCTTCGAACCAGCCTCGTGAATCATTTGTAGAATGCTGTACAATTTGTTAAGTTAATATTTGCCATCTGTATACCGTGTTGTTTAGTGAACTCACTTGATACCTTTTGTCAATCAATGATTTGCCAGATTAATTTCAATGAATTGTGGTCCAGTCACACAATGGTTGTTAGGAATAGTAAATAGAACTGTGCATTCCCATTGTATAAGCCTATCTATGTGCTTGTTATAATAATCTCAGTCATTTTATATTCACTCTGACGTCAGATCAATAATTCCGCTGCAATTTACTCTGCGCGAACCTTCCTGGGCTGATCCTAGGCAAGATCTGTTACGAATAGTGAATTGTGAAAGGACGGTGCACTCCATCAGTAGCAAGTGAAGCACGCAGTATGGAGTACGAAGGCGAAAAGACGGAATGACGCGAAGTGTCGCGTCATGTTACGTAACATCTGGACCGTCGGAACAGAAGCATCGGGCAGTTGCAGTGGCCACGATTGGCTAGGAAGTAGGATGTAATAGGGAACTGTGTGCAGAAATAGAGGTAAAACAACACCCA